GTGTGTGTGTGTGATTAGCGTATAAGCTGCGTGCCGACGTGTGTGTATGTGTATGTATATTATACCAAGGTACTTTCCATTTGATGACACAAGCGACACAATCGTCGTTCTATCTTTCTTGACATTCAAAAAGTGACAAAGATGGAATGACACTTGTGTCGCATGTGTCATCAGATGGAGAGCAACCCCAAAAAAGCGTTTGGTCGTATTGTTTGAAATTTCGAAAAAATGTGATTCGCATTCAAAAGTGAGATAAGCAGATATTTGGGCGTTGAAAAGAGAAAAAGCGAAGGCGCCGAGTGCAAAAGTGCAGCATGCAACGCGAACAGACCTTATGCCTGTATCACACTAGCGATTGGACATTGCGTCTGCGTTCGCGATTTCATCTTTTAACCAATCAGACGACTAGACCTGCTTGCCAGCAGCGCTTCTTTTTGATTGGTTAAATGACGCAGACGCAGGCTGCGTTCCGTTTAGCCGGTTCTACATTATAGTTGCAAGCCGATCGCAAGTTCGTTGCCAATCTCAGGGTGCTGTCCCATGATACGGAAATTACACCGGAACGGAACAGTGAGACCAATCAGATCTCTGCAATCATTACTCTACTTTCCTTTCTGCGATTGTGATTGGTCTCACTGTTCCGTTCCGGTGTAATTTCCGTATCATGGGACTCCAGTCTAAAGCCTTGTGTCCACGATACTAGAAATCGGTCCGAGATCTCGGATGAAGGAAAAATTGACCAAATACATTGGTCATGTGACCAAATTGCTTAAATGCGATTTGTTAATTCTTTCTTCATCCGAGATCTTGGACCGATTTCTAGCATCGTGGACACAAGGCTTAAGGTAAAGCCCATGGCACATAGAAAAACGTAAGGCCGTAAACGTAATCAGTAAGCGAATTGACCAATCACAGTTGAGAACGTAAGTGGCGGCCGCTTATGATTGGTCAATTCGCTTACTGATTACGTTTACGGCCTTACGTTTTTCTATGTGCCATGGGCTTAAATGTTTGGGCACGGAACTATCTTTCTACTATTGTCCTGTTGGTCGAATTGTGTTGCAGGAGAGGGAGGACAGCAACGTATTCTTTAAAGTCAGGAGCCATTACAGAGGCATTATTACGCAGCAATACTACTGCGGTGCAAATTAAAATCGGAAAATTATATACATTATATTAGATACAAAATAAAATTGAGTAATATGGTTTCTACGTGTATTTTATGTAAGACTAAAGCGGGGAGCACAGACTTTTGCATAACGCATAAACCATATACATAAAGAATTTGATTGGTCCATTGACTCATGCATAAGAAAATGGACCAATGAAATTCCTTATGCACATGCTTTATGCGTTATGCAAAAGTCTGTGCTCCCCGCTTAATGTAGGACCAGCTTTATGCGTCATGCAAAAGTGTGTGCTGCGGCCTTTATGTAGGATTCTCCATACATAAAGCACGTTCTGAATACGGGCCGTAGTCTATTGTTTCCAGAGGAACGATTGGCTGACTGGCTAAATGGTTTATACGGATCTCGCTCGTGGGGCCTCGGTGACGTCATCTCGTGTATGATTCGAGGTAGTTCATTTCTTATCCCCACCGTACATCATGGTAGCGACTGTACTTGACTGTACCTACACTACTGTTCGTTGTCCAGCTGACGAGTGATCATCGAGGATAATCGTCGTTGTCATTGACGTCTTTGTCGCGGATACCGGAGTGGGACCGCGTTCGTGCGTCCCTATAACGGAGTGAAAAAAAGAGGACGGCCTTCACGGGGCATAACAAAAGGCAAAGGACGAGAGAGAAACAACGGCCTCTCGCTCTCCTCGATTCTTCTCCCTCTACCACGATAGATCTCTCTCTCTCTCTCGTCTCTCAACCTTCTCCGTTTCTCTCGCACTCATTTGCGTTCCCTCGCTCACTCGCTCGCTCGCTCGAATGCAAACGTCGTAAATCCGGGATCTCGTAAGAAGTAATCCTCGTCTCGTCGTCCGCGCGTGATAGAGGGAGAGAGAGAGAGAGAGAGAAAAAGAGAGTGTATAGAGTGCTTCGTAAATCTGGTACGCGTACAGACGCGCGTGTGGGTGCCGTGATTTCTTTCGGAGCAGGTTCCTGTCGCGCGCAGACGGACAACGCGCACAAGGTACGGTAGAAGAAGGAGGTCGTCGTCGTCGTCGTCATCGCCACCGTTATTATCCTCGGCATTGTCATCGGTCGTACGCGTGATATACGCATCTAGACTTGTCGCAGAGGACAAGAGCGAGAGAGAGAGAAAGAAAGAAAGAAAGAAAGAGGGAGCGAGCGTGATCAGTCATCATCGTTCGCAGAAATTAACGGAAAGCCCATTCGTAAGGGATGTCCACCCCTGCGAGGAGGCGATTGATGAGGGATTTCAAGAGGTACTTCGAGTATATTGTTCGTCTTTCCGTTCCCCTCTCCCCCTCTCCTGTACGTCTGTTCGATCGGCATGACGCCATTGTAAGTGCAGTGGTTCCTGGTGCGCCCGATTTGATCCGACTCTGCGCGATCGAGGATCCCACACCTTCCGCGCGAACGTCACTCAGCCACGTTTATTATTAGAAACGTGTTCCCTCGCTTTCACCCTGCTGCCAAGTGCCAACACTCTCCCTCCTTTCTTTCTTTCTTTCTTTCTTCCACCTTTCCCGGCCCTTTAAAACAAACCGTTCTCCATCCTGTTGTCGGTCCATGCATTTAGTTGAAACAGTCTCGGTGAATCTTCACGACGATGTCACTTGAATAGGGATTCCTCGTTTTTGTTTAAAAGGTGTCCCAGAATGACCGCAAAATATTTAGTGTACTGGTAGGGCGGAATAAACCGAGTTGAATAGTCCTTTACCATTTTTCAATTTTTGTAATAGTTAACAAGATAATAATTACTAAAAATCGCCGAATATATTGATCTTTAATAATTTTTTATTCAAGTTATACTATTAATTTTACAAGAAAATAGCAAAAATTGTTTATTTTCTTCTTGTAGAATTCTGAGAATTTTTTAGTATCACATTTTCTTATGCTGGTAAAAATGGTTGCCAATAAAAAAATGCAGCACTAAAAAATTCTTAGAGCTCTGTAAGAAAAAAAAATAAATAATTGTTGTCTCTTGTTGTTTTTCTGTAAAGTTGATAGTACTTGAGTAAAAAATTATTGAAGATTAATATATTCGGCGATTTTTATAATATTTTTATAAATTAATATCTTGTTAACTACTGTAAAAATTGAGAGATGGAGGGCTTTTCGACTCAATTGAGTTTGCTCTATCAGTACACGGAATATATGGCTGTTATTCTGGGACATTTGTATGTACAATTCTAAATAAATAAATGTATTAAATTTTGATAAAAAAATTTATTTTGAGTAGTACATGTATTTAAAAACATAATATTTAAAATTTTGTATCACTTTGTTCAAGATATTAGATCATATTTAGTAACTATCCACCGATTGATACGTTTACTTTAATTAGACATCACAATTTTGATACATTTTTATAATGTTAGTATAAAACTAATATCAAGAGTGAATTATAACTTTTTTGTTGCAAAGATTAGCTTTATCATCACGAATTTTATGACAATATATTTGTGAATAATGTATCAATGTGTTTGCAATACAAGTATAATGTATACAAAACTACCACAGTGTTATTCATTCACAGAATAATGTTTTATGTATCATTATTTGCAAGACAGGTTCTAAAAGTTGTTATTTCCACAAAGATTACAGGAAGATCCTCCAACTGGTGTGTCAGGCGCTCCGACAGACAATAATATTATGATATGGAATGCAGTTATATTTGGGTAAGACGGGCCAAATGCCCATGATTTTTATTACATTTATTCTTTCATAATATTTCAAGGAAATGTCTTTGGTTAGATATATATATTTGTGTTTGTCTAACAAAATTTACTCCAACTGAAAATTTATACAAAAGAATGTTATATAGGCAACAAAATTTGTGTGTAATCTTCTTCGCTCATTTAATGTTAAACATTTTGCAGTTGATTTTTACTATTATTTCAAAAAAATCCATCAACAAAGTATATCTATAAAGTTATACCAATAATAAAATTTTACTTTATGTCACATAATAAATAAAGAAAATAAGATTAAATATATTTTTGCTCACACAAGGATATTTATGTATGTTTTAGACCACATGATACTCCATTTGAAGATGGCACATTTAAACTTACAATAGAATTTACAGAAGAATATCCAAACAAACCACCAACAGTGAGATTTGTTAGTAAAATGTTTCACCCTAATGTATACGCAGACGGTGGAATATGTCTGGACATACTACAAAATCGTTGGAGCCCTACTTATGACGTCTCAGCCATTTTAACATCTATACAGGTACAATCTTTTCTTCCTTTTTTATCACAAGGTATACTGTGGCATTTCAAGTAGCTGAGGACTGAGTTATGGAATTTCATAAATTCATGAGCACAATATCTATGTACATCCATTACTTTTGATGTCTTTTTCTATTATATATAAATTTTTTTTTCTCTTTTATAGCTTGATACATATTACTGTTATTAAATTTCCATTGCATAATTAAATGATGAAAAAGGATTATTTCAATATCGTGTGGCACAAGACACAATTGTAGCTTAGAATCATGTCGTAATATATATTTGCAAGTATATATTGCATTATAATATTTACATGATTTTATTCACAAATCTTGCGGAAGCCAAAAGTATTTTATATATTATAGCAATTAATAAATTACGAATATTTTAAAGATAACAAAGGTCCATTTTGGATTTTACGTCATTTTTCTTTTTTTTTTCGTTTTTATGTCTTGGGATGTGTACCATTCATTAAGTTATCTTATTTTCTGTAAAAATATCGTTTATATGTTTCTCATTGAAACGTCACTTCCAACAGATCTTTGTTATGTTAAAAATATCTGAAGGACTTCATTTTGTCTTAACAGCGGTTGCAATTCAGCAAAGTCTAATCACATGACGATTCTAATTTGTGCATAATATTTGCATATGTCTACATCCTATTTATGTATTACTTTTGATTATCCGTCAATATGCGTCATCTTTAATTTCTTTCTGATTAGAGAACGAAAGAAAGAGAAGGAAAAAAGAAAGGCAAAACACATAGATTGTCCTTTCCCTCACCTTTATTTACAGTTTGCGGCCATGCACATTGTAAAGAAAAGAAAGATAACTGAAAAACTATATTTCGAAATGTAATGAAGTACGACTTATGTGATTGCAGTCGCTGTTAAGTGACCCGAACCCGAATTCACCTGCCAACTCAATGGCAGCGCAACTGTACAAAGAGAACCGACGCGAGTACGAGAAACGAGTGAAGGCTTGCGTGGAGCAGAGTTTTGTGGATTAGTCGCAGGCGTTAAAGCGATGCTGCTATCGCGGTATCAATCAGCCACCAACAGCCATCAGATACAGGGGAGAAGAACGTGCAGCCTTACCAAGAAGCTAACGTTTAAAAAGAAAAACGAAAGGGAGAAAAAGGAAAACATACCTAGCATGTTTCTTCCTGAATGCTCTATCGAACTATGTCACGAACCGAATGTGCAACGTTAGACGGAATTTTTACGATGTTGAATAATAAATTATTATAAAATTGCGTATTTATTTATTTCGAATATCTGATGATACACGAAATTAGTTACTATATTAAATGTTAGAGTATAAAAAAAATACTTGGCTCGTCTTTTTTGTTTTCTTCATTTCCTTTTCTCTTTTCTGTACGAAAGGAATGTTTTTTTTTTCGGTAGCACAGAATTGTACTTTGAATTCTACATACACTTATATATACAGGGTGTATTTTAAAAAGGAATTAATCATATTACGCTATATCTGATTAAAAACTGAGTCGAGTGAAAATTCCTGTAATATTTTGCAATTTTCGCAATTTTTTTACCCAATCTATAAAATTTATATGTAAGGCAACTTTAAAAGTTGTTTAAGATGAAATCTTTTAAGATATTTCATGAAGAACACTGAAAGATACGTTAAAGTTGTCTTATGTGTCGATTTTGTTCGCTTATTTGATAATCTTTAGAAATTAATATCTCATCAACTATTGCAAAAATTGCAAAATGCATAGTTCAGGACTTTTCGGCTCAATTTTTAATCAGAAATAATGCTATATGATTAATGGGCGCTTTTTACGGTACACTCTTTACAACCTGGAGATCTTTCAGTTCTGTATTCGCTTATATATTCGATTTTTTCTCTGTCGAAAATTTAATAGTGTATCTGAATATGCTGAGGGAATTCGTCAACGATTTGTGTTACAGTCGCTTTTGGATGAACCGAATCCCAATTCGCCGGCCAACTCTTTAGCGGCGCAATTGTACCAAGAAAACAAGCGAGAATACGAGAAGCGAGTGGCCACCGTAGTTGAACAGTCTTGGCTGAATTTCCAAGAGAGTCACACGGAGGATCCTCGCTGACATTAAGTATGCCGCTTTTCACGATGCGTAAGAGATCTCTGTCGCAGCTTCTTTGTCCGATATAAAAGTTGTCTCTATATTATACATAATGATGATTCGGCCAACGTGTTCCATTGGAGCTGTATACGTAATATCCTTCAATACCTCGTGGCGAACATTCCGTGTTGATTGCAGTCTGTAGAAAAACATGAAAGGAATTTGCACGACTCTCACTGATGCAAAAAATATTAAAAAAAAATTTTTAAATAGTAGAAAAAAACGAAACGACGTGAAGTTGCACTATAAACGTATGTGATCTTTTACTTATAAGTAACGTACATACAATATGTATTGTCTTGCTCTTATAACTAGCCGTTAGGTACCCCTCGCGCAAAAGATACAAAAATAATATCCGTACGATGTTTCGCCATACGTTAATCTTGCAGGCAAATCGACTTACTGTTTTACAAATATAGACGAGCTTGAGGAAAATACAATTATGCTAAAGAATATGAAAGTTTGTAAGTCGCTTCTGGAAAGTCTACTTTCACCATGTAATGGCGCAAAATATAAGAAAATAGTGTGATTATTCCTCGTTTTCGACTTGGTATTTACCATTAGAAAGCTTGTATTAGACTGTAAATGAATGTCATATATTGAATAGTATCGAATTAATAAATTTTGCAAGAAAAACAATGTTTATAAATTTACTGTTTTTCCGTTGTGTTGTGATATAAATACTTATGTTTAATTATAAGAAAAAAATATATATTTAATTTTTACAGGAATAATGAGATTAAAAAAATAGAGATATATAAAATTATTTTACTGTTACAATGGATTTTTTAAATGTACTTTATTAACATGTTTCCTTCTCTATTACTATATTTTTGTGAAATGTTTATTTCAAAATAAATCTTCCGTTATTTTACAGTTATTTTGATATATTATTTTTATTTTTTTATTACATATTTTATAATTTCATACGGTATATGTACAGTTTGTGTAATTTTGTAAATAATATCGACGAAGAAAATGCAACGAGATAGATTTTTTGATAACTTGTTTAATATTGTGATAGCATTGTTTTATATATTTATATAAAACAATGTTATCATAGCGTGTTTATATATATA